GCTCACTTGGTAGCCCAGGCTGGCCTCGAACTCACAGACATCAGCCTGGCTCTGCCTTCCAAGTGCTGGGATTAAAGGCGTGCGCCACCACCGCCCAGCCCCACACAGCTATTTAATGAAGACTTTGAGATTCAGATTCGCGTCCCACCCTATGCCAGCTGTCTTATGCTTTATCACAGCTGCATACTTGGGCTCCTGTGGACCACCTCCTCTTGAAAAATTGCTTGCCTCTCATTTTCTGAACTTTCTTAGTTTGGGCTGGCACCCCCGCTGTTCTATTCCCTTCCCGACAGCCTTTGCGCTGCCTGATGGGATCGGTGGCACGCAGCCTGTCTGCATGGCCCTTGCGCTGGACCCACACTCCCAGCTATGAAATACGCGTCCTCAACTGGTTGGTGGTGAGTTTACAAAGTTCTTGTCTGAGACAGACAGACGACTAGGGTAGAGTGTAGTGTAAACCAAGGCGCAGACTGGCAAGAGACAGAGAGGAGCCATCTCAGTGGCTTCCAAGCCCTCTGGGTAACCCAGAGTGCTAGAACGTAACTTCTGGAGCAGTGGTTCTCACTCTTCCTAATGCTTTGACCCTTTAACACAGTTCCTCACGTTATGGTGACCCCACCACCACCACCACCACCCAACCATAAAATTATTTCCTTGCTACTTCATAGCTGTAATTTTGCTGTTATGAACTGTTAATATCTGTGTTTTCTGGTGGTCTCAGGTGACCCCTGTGAAAGGGTCATTGGAACCCCCCCCCAAGGGGTCTCGACCCAGAGGTTGAAAATCACTGCTTTAGGTGGAAGGAGCCCTTTGTGGAGCTCATGGAAAGAGGCAGAAGGCACAAAAGCAGCCAGAATGGGAGGGAGGATGGGTCTCTGCTGGGGTCAGAGGCTGAATCAGCCAGCTGTCTGGTCCCCATTGTGAAATCCCTCCTTTTTGCAAAATCTTCACAAATGGAATTTTCCAGATTAACTATCTGTGTCTGAAAATGCGTATCTGATTTTTTTCTTAATTTTTATTTTTGTGTGTGAGCGTAGTGTATGGTGTAAATCTGTGTGTTGGTGTGCATGCTTGTGTGTGCGGAGGTCAGAGGCTGACATCAGTGTCTTCGTCTATTCCTCTCTCCACCTCCTGTTTTTGAAACAAGGTCTCACCCTGAGGCCAAAGCTCACCAACTTCTAGGCTGGCTGGCCAGAGAGCCCTGGGGATTATCTGCCTGTCTGTTGTCTTACCTCCCCCATCAGCTAGGTCACAGAGGCATGTGACCATGCCCAGCTTTTGTCGTGAGTGCCAGGTATCCAAACTCAGGTCCTCATGCTGGCCTGACAGACGCTTACTGACTGAGCGGGCTCCCCAAGCCCGGCTTGACTTCTGTGTTTGTTTTGTTTTAAATTGCCACTCTGAGTGTAGTTAAGAGTTTGGGTTTGAAAGCCAGAGCATCCGAGTTTAAATTTCAGCCCTTCTTTCTTCCTGCAAGGTGACTTTCGATCAGTCTTTTAGTCACCTTGTGACCATTTCCTTGTCTGTAAAATGGGGACACGACCTAAGAGTGGGACCGTCGCGTCGCATGTATTAAACCAAGTGACGTCTTCTCAACTCAAGGCTCGGCACACAGTCAGGGACGTTCAACAGATGTGAGTTGCTGTTATGTTTTGGATGCTTACTGTTAGTTATCCTTAGAGCTCATGCCTGAGTTTTCGTTGTAATTGGGTTTATTCTCTCCATCTCACAGATCAAAAAACTGAGGTGCTGTGAACCGCCTAAGTCCACTCCATTTCCAAGTGACCCAACCAGGACTCTAAGGGAGTTCAGACCCTAAAACGCTTCCCTCAATAATTATGCTCTACCTCTGCCCCTCCCTCCCTCCCTCTCTCCTTCCCTCCCTCCCCGAAAGAAGAGGGCTCTTCTAAAACCCACTGTTAGTTGGTCATTGTGCTTCTGACTCTGGAGTCCAGCCAGGCTGTGGTGAGAGTTTACTACAAAGTCACCCCATACTGCTGTCATGCCCCACAGGTCCTGGGGTGCTGTGGAGGATCTATGCCATAACCTTTGGAGGCCCCTGGCTCTGGGTAGCTCTACTTAGTGGTCCTGTCCCCCTGTTTCTAACCCATAATCTCTGTTTGCAGATGCTCAAATAGTTTCCTGTGCCTCTTACCACCTAAATACTCTGTAGTGCTGGGAATTGAACCCAGAGTCTCATACATGCTAAGCAAGCGCTCTGTCCCTCAGCTACACCCCTAGCTCCTAAATGCCCTTGAATTAAGCCTCCTATTGGTTTGTACCTCACCTTGTGGAGACAGAAGGATGGCCTTCAGTTTCCCAGAGTCTCAGAACTGGTGATACTGGTACAGGTACAGACAGGGCAATTCTGGCTTTCTCTTCCATAAGAAAATCCTAGATTAGAAGAAGTAAGCCGGGCGTGGTAGCAAACGCCCACGCCTTTAATCCCAGCACTCGGAGGCAGAGGCAGGGGGATCTTTTGTGAGTTCAAGGCCAGCCTGGTCTACAAAGGGAGATCCAGGACAGCCAGGGCTGTTATACGGAGAGACCCTGTTTTCACCCCCCCCCCCAAAGGCAACTTATCTCCCTGCCCACTGTGCCATCTTTTGGCTAGGCTTTGCTGAGGTTCTTGGGGGTCAAGGTCTTTGGCAGGGGCAGTGGAATTTGTTCCACTGAAAATGAAACCTGGCAACAACCTTACAAACAGCACACAGCTCGACAGCTAAGTCGAAAGGAAGTATGTATCATCTTCCGGGCGCTTCCTGGGCCTGGAACGGTAAATGCTCCTGGAATGCTGACTTGGAATACATCTTTCATGCTCACAGAAATCCCTTCCCACATGGCCAGGGTTCCAGGGACAAGGCCGGGAAGTTCTCTGTCCCCAGCAGGTACGGTTTGCTGCAGGTCTTTTTCAGCCTCCTGTGGTTTGGGGTTTTCTTGTTTGTATGTTTTGTCTTGGCATTTTCCCTGAACACCGTCTCTACGCTGAGTGCAGAGACAATGGGTTCGCTGTTGTTTTCAGTATCAAACGCAGGGTGATGCTCGGCAGAGGTCCAGAAAACGGCAGACATTGGACCATGTGCGTGACACTTTCGACCAGGCAGGAGTTTTCTGTGTGCTCTCCTCTGCCTGTCCACACCCACTCTTCACCCATTTCTTGGAGGACTGAGTCCTGGCTCCCTGTCTTGGTTCCTGTGTTTAACCAATAGGAGGAGAATGGGGACTCAGGGGATTTAGTCCCTCTCCCAGGGTGGCCTTAGGTTGGCTGCCTCCTCTTGCTGAAGGGGTCAGCTCTGTTTCCTGCTCTTCTCTACTTTCCTCCTGTAGGCCTTGGGGGAGCCCCTGGTCCCCAGACATGCTAGCTGCATGTGACCACCCCTTGGGTCAGTCTTCTGGACCCCGCCACTCGGGTCTCTGCTTCCACTGGGACTGGGACTAACACAGAAACAGTGGATACCCACACGGAGGACAGAATGAGGAGTTACGAATGAGCAAAGATAAACTACGTTAAAAATTGACCGTTTTCCCCATCTTGTTCTTCCAATGCACGCAGCTGGCCAGTCTCGGAGCAAATCTCTCTCCATTCTTCAGATGGAAGAACGGACAGTTAATTCCTCCCCAGTCTCCAGGGCCAGCTCATTTCTGTGCCTGCTCAGCCCCATGGTTCCCATCACCGCCTGCCCTGCCCTGTGCCTCCTGTCACCTCGGAACATGTCCTAGGCAGAGCTGATCATGCAAGTGGATGCAGATAGACAACTTTCCTCCTCAGAAATACCCACCCTTGCTGAGTCAAGCACCTTCTAGAATAGTCTGGGCGGCAGGAAGCTGGTTGCTCTGTGAATGATCATTTCTGGCATCAACCACACACCAGCAGGCGGGGGCCTGAGCTGATTCATCCGATGGCCTGGGCAAGCAGAGCACCACACGGCTGTTTCTGCTCCTCCCTCGATAATCTGAAGGCTCTCAGAAGACTGTGACTAATGGGGACATCTGAAGGCAGGAGATGCTGAGGCTGGTGTGTGTGTGTGTGTGTGTGTGTGTGTGTGTGTGTGTGTGTGTGTGTGTTTGGAGGGGGGTGGGGAGTCAGCTCAAGTCCAGATGGAGTATGAGCATATGCATTGAGAGGAGCATGTCTCAACCTGTGTGTGGTTCATGACCCCTTTGGGGATCACATGTCAGATATCCTGCATATCAGATATTTACATTATGATTCATAGCAGTAGCAAAATTACAGCTGTGAAGCAGCAATGAAAGTAATTTTACGGTTGGGGGTCACCACAACGTGAGGAACTGTATTAAAGGGTCGCAGCATTAGGAAGGTTGAGAACCACTGATCTAGAGGGCTGGCCTTGGGACTCCAGGGAGAAGCTTTCAGGCTGGATTTGCTCAAGTTGAGCTCCTTGAGGAGGGGAAAGTGCAGAGAACTTTCACAGGTCTGATGCTATGAAAATTAGGCAGCTTCCCTGGGTCTCAGTTTCTTCTCTAAAACAGGCTTAATATAAAGAACAACCTATGGATCGAATATAAGGGAACCCTCACTTCTGATTGGCATAGAAACCGGATACCAGATGAGTGTGTTGGTGCAGGCCTGTGATCCCAGCTATTCTAGGGGTAGGGTGGGAAGGGTACCAGTTTGAGGCCCCTCTAGCAATGTCAAAGCCAGCCTAAGTAACTTAGTGGGACTCTGTCTCATAATAAAAACAGGAGTTGGGGATGATGTAGCTCAGTAGTGCTTGACTAGTATGCATGAAGTTCGGGGTTCTATTCCCAGTCCAGGAAGAAAGGAAGGAAGGAATTGAACTTACAAGGGGTGTGAAGAGAGCAGAGGAAGCTGAGAAGGCACAGAATGGGCTTTGCTGGCTGCAGTTTTGTGAGCCAGGCTGCGGCTGCTCAGCCGGCATAAGCAGCACCCACCTTGGTTCTTTTTCTTTTTTATTTATTTTTATTTTATGTGCGTTGGTGTTTTGCCCGTGTGTATGTCTGCATGAGGCTCCCCTGGAACTGGAGTCACAGACAGTTGTGAGCTGCCATGTGGGTGCTGGGGATTGAACTTGGGTCCTCTGGAAGAGCAATCAGTGCTCTTAACCACTAAGCCATCTCTCCAGCCCCTCACCTTGGTTCTTATGGGGCATGCGCCAAGCCCTGACTTCTCCACTGGCGCTCTGTGACCTTCGGCAGCCCTCTGTGTCTCCATTTTCTTATTTGTAAAATGACATCACTAACAATGCCTCACAGGGTTGCAGCACATGCGTTAATGAGTCTAAAACTCTCGGAACTTTGTCTGGCTCTAACAAGTGCTCCTGAACGGTAAGCCATCCCTCCTCAGCCCAGCACCCATGGAAGTGCTCCGCTCTGGCTCAAGTGTGCAAGGCTTCTTTGTGGCAAGTAGCCGGGTAAATGGAGACCGCTTTTTTTGATTGGTTTTCTTTCTAGAAGAGTTGCCTCCTCTTGGGTCTGGTCATTTTGGCATATGTGAAGAAGGAGGAGGACAAAGAGCCCTTAGAGAGAGCCACTGGGACTTGGCATGTGATACACACATGTAATTGCAACACTCAAAGTCTGAGGCGAGAGAAGCAAGAGTTGAAAGTCAGTTGCACAGTGAAGCCCTGTCTCGATAAACAACAAACAAACAAACAAACAAACAAACAGACAGGCTGGGACTACAGCTCAGCAGTAGATTACTGAGTTACTTTGCACAAGGCCCTGGGTTCAATCCAAAGTACCACAAGAAAACCGACCAACCAATAATCAATCAAACAAAAAAAAAACATCTACGAGGAGCCCTCCCTCGAGTCTTCGGGGATCATGGTTTATGTGCCTATTATGGGGTGTGGGTACTATGGGAAAGAGAAGATGGGGGATTAACAACAAAGGTAACCTAGACCAGGGCCTGACCAGGGAAATCCCAGTGACAACTCTCCTCCTGAATTCAGTCAGCTTTAGTTTTTTTTTTTTTTTTTTTTTTTTTTGGCTTGGTCTGAGTCCAGGGTGTGGGAGCAGCAATGGTACCAGCGAGGTGGTGTCACCCCAAGATCAGAAAGGGGTGCTCCAGAGTCCAGCGCTGCCGCCTGCAGAGTTCTAAAAGTCCTAGTGCATCACACGTACAATGAAGATGTAGGATGGTGCCATCTTCCCAGGGTCCATGCTGTGACCACCCCATGTCAGCTGCTGTTAACACAAGCCTGCCAAGGTTCCAGGGACAGTCCCCCAAAGATGTCTATGTCCTCGTCTCTGGAGCCTGTGAATATGTTTGGGACGTGGTAAGTGTGATCAAACTTGAGATCTGGAGCTAGGGAGGTTATCTGGATATCTTAGGGGAGCTCATGGAACAGCCTGAGTGAAAGAAGGAGGCAGGAGACCCGTCAGCCATTGTCCGTTTGGAAGGAGGGAAGGAGAATGAGGGAAAAAATGCCGGCAGCTTGTAGATGAAAAAGGCTACCGGATGGAGGTCCTCCCGGAAGAGCCTTCACAAAGGACCCCACCCTGGCAGCTCTTGGGTCTGACCTTCGAAATTCTGAGATTATAGCTCTGTGCTGTTCTGAGACACTGTATTTGTGGTCATTTGTCATACCGGGGACAGGGAATGAGTCCAGCCACTGAGTCCCCACAGAGCAGTCTCCTTGAAGGACGGACCAACTGAAGGAGACTCCACAGCATTTACTGAGCACTTGTGGCATTTACACCGTCTATCATCTCCTCTGTATAGCTCCACAACCGAGGCCATGGAACCGAATGTCTGTGCTTGGGCACTACCCAGGGATGGAACCTTCCAGGACAGAGCTCGGAGAGACTGGGCTCTCATTAGGCTTTTCTGTAGGGATCCTGAAGGATGGAAGTGTGGGTTTGGATGAGGAGCAGGAGGACAGAGAGAAAGACATCATTGCAATGGGACCGAGAGATCAGTTACTCATTCACCTCTATCTTCCACACCCCAGGGAGGGGCGCCTGGATAGTGATGGAGACAAGGAAATACTTTTCGTGATAAATGGAGTAGCATACAATACACCACAAGAAAGCAGGGCCGAGTCACAGTGGGAGAGGTAGGGCCTCTTGATGGGTGCATGTCGGGTGGCTTCCTGGAAGAAGCATCCCTCCAGCTGCTGCAAACAGGATAAAGTGAAGTGCTCTCTACCGCTCTCAGCCCTGTGAAGTACAGGTGCCGACTGGAATAGTGATTTCTGTTGCTATTCTCTATCGATTTCTGTTGTTATTCTCTATCTGCTTCTCTTTTAATTTGTCTAATTATAGTGAGGAGGAAGTCTCTGATGGGCACAGGCGTACCTTGCATGCCGCTAGAGTTCTGTTATAATGTAAGACCAGCTCAGGCTGGTCTGCAGGTAGCAGGCGCAAGGCTTAAGCGCTCTGCTTGGCTTGTCCTTATTTTCATTTTTTGTCTAACTACTTTCCTTTTGTGTTAGGATACTGGTTTTCCTTTTCTGGGTCCGGAATACAATTTCTTTGTATAGCAAGGACCTCTCTCGATTCCTGCCCGCAGTGGTTAGTTGACAGGGATGAGCTCCCTTCACCTTGGGACAGAGCTCAGCTCAGTGGTGGGTTGGTCCATGTGAAGGAAGGAAGGAAGGAAGGAAGGAAGGAAGGAAGGAAGGAAGGAAGGAAGGAAGGAAGGAAGGAAGGGGAGAATGAAGGAATGAAAGGAAGGGTAAATTGGAACTCAACAAATAATCCTGTGCCCCTCCCTTCTCCTTCCTCTCCCTGGGCCAGGGCCCACCCTGCGTTCCTCTCCATTGGCCATGCCACTGGTGGTCCCTGGTCTGACAAATAGGAGGGTCAGGACATGTCCCAGCAGCCTGGTCAGGGCTGGACTTCTGAGACCTGCTCCCTCCGGAAGCCTAGGCCGGGAGGACCTCTCTGATCTGCTGACCCTCACACAGCGTGGCAGGTCTCATCAAAGCGGATCAGGAGAATGACTACTATCTCCCAGGCCTTCTCCTCTCCATCTCCGCCCCTAGGCCTTTATTCAGGAGCTTGCGATTTGAATTTTCCGCTGCTGCCAGAGGAGTCCGGGAGCGTCATTGCTGAAGGTCAGCTGTCTTCCCCTAGTGCCCGCAGCCTTGCTTTCCTCCGTGTTATCTCCCGGTTGTACCCCCCCCCCCACACACACATACACACACCCCGCGAGCCACGGAGCCACTCACCTCTCCCTGGTGGGCGCGGGTGGCACGCAGCAGCTCGTAGGGCGGGGGCGTGGCGCGGGTCCGATGGAGGCTTGGCGCCCATCCGCACAGACCCGACCCCGGCGAGAGCAGGCCCCACCGGGAGGCGCTGGCTAGCTCTCCCCCCACCGCCGCCCCGCAGTGGCCTGGGGAGGGTACAGTCACACAGCCGCTGGAGACGGAGGGACTCACATTCCTTCCCCGGTCCTTCTGAGGTACTTGGGGGCGGAGGGTGGGGGATGATGAACAGGTGGCTGATTTCGCCTGGCTGGGCAGACTGACTAGGATGAGGTGGACTTGCTGGGATGGGTCGCCAGGATGAGCCCAATCATCTTCCTCTCCCTCCTTCCCCAGGCACTAGGTGACGACAGTGGAGATCCTGTCCCCTAGCTCTGGCTGCTGCCAGGCAGAAGAGCCTCAGTGCCAAGCTGGCTTTCTGCGGTGCTCCCTGGAGAAGGGAAAGAGTGTATGTAGGTGGGGATGGGCTCTGGGTCAGCCCGACACAGGTTCTCAAACCGGGGCTCCCCAAGGCTGTCTCCGGGCAGCTGAGTTTGGAATGACCTGCCATGTCCACCGTGTTACCTGAATCACCGGATACTGAGTGGGTTTCCCCTGCTTCCAGGCCAGCCTTAGGGCTGGAAGGACAAGGAAGCCACTAAAGAAGAGCTGCTGTGGGAGCGTCTACCCATCTCAACCTCAGGTTAGGATCGCCAGCCTCACTTCCCTTCTGCTCTCTTGTTTTTTGTCTTTGGACATTTCTTCTTGATCTTATGTCTCCCCCTGCTGTAGCCCATTCCTATGGTGAGGAGTTGGCCCATTCTGGCTCCTGAGAGCAGAACACTGAATTGTGCAAACCAGTTGTTAAAAGAGGCTATCACCAGGAGAGGAGGGAGAGGAAACTGCAGTCCAGATGTCGGGATGTCAAATAAATGAATAAATTTAATTGATAAAAACAAGGTGGCCATTACCTTAGATGAACTTATGTCAAGCTATGCTCAAACAACATAAAACAAAGATCATAAAAACTCAAAGTTCATCCACTTCTGCATTATTTTACTAGTTCTATACCTTCAAGGTTTACACATATTTTATCTGTATAGTGGGTTTTACAGTGTGTGTGTGTGTGTAGGGTACTGCACACCTTTCTTCCTGACCCATGAAGGCAGCTTGAAATCAGCCAAGTATTTACACCACAGAAATGGGCATGCTGTATTCATGGCTGGATTTGTGGTTGGCTGTTTGGTTTGGTTTTGAGACAAGGTTTCACTAAGTAGTTCAGGGTGGCCTGGAACTCAAGATCCTCTTTCGTCTCAGCCTCTTGAATGCTGGGAGTAACGGGCACGGCCTGTGCCACCATGCCAGTTCAACGTTTGTTTCCCACTTTCTGACTTAAGTAAATGATGAAGACAATATGCTAGCGCTATAAAAGCATGTCTTGGGTGAATACTGTCGTCCCACCTTCATTTTAAGTAAGCTAGCCATATCGGAGACCACCTCCTGAATAGCACCAACATGGAGGAGCTCTCTGTGCAGCATCCAGAAAGCACTACCTGACTTAGCAGGTCGTTCACAGGTCAATGAAATCTGATGTTACTCTGACTTGCTACCCCTTCGTCTTGCTGACAAAGTGTCAACCCACATTCACTTTGGAACTGCAATCACCTGCCAGCCATGTACAGGCTGACATCAATACATAAGCATGGTAACCATGAATGAGAACATTCTATGACAATCAGGTGGCTGCATGGACTTTGATAAGATTTTATTACTTGTAACTATTACACATCCTTTACATCAGTAAGGTTTAGATGTATGCATTCATGCCTGCCAGACCCAGGTATTTGCCAGGATGATCCCCAATGTTTGTTCTGTTCCAAATGTTCTCTCTAAAGCCTCTTGTCCCAAATCTTAGACCTCACCTCATGCTGTGAACATGAAGACTTATCTGTCACTTGAGTACTTTCCAGATACCTAAAGATTAAGACAGTGTAGAAGGTGGGGCATGGGACCTAGGGGGGGTTAGTATTGGGACATACTCCTTAACTACTGTACCCATGGTGTTGCTATAGGGCCATCCTCACTTGGGATCGGATGCAGACTCGATTTGAGTTGAAACCATCTGGAAGAAGGGACATGGGGGAAGGTGAGGGGATGTCAAACACCTAGGCACGAATCGTCCTACTCTGCTGTTTGGGGCAGATGTGAGTTAGATTCTAGGTACCTTAGGGACATCTCAGTCATGTGTGTGCAGATCTAGAATTCCAAAGGAGATGGGGACCAAGGATGTCAGCTCTGTGCCTCCTGGGAATGGCCTGTAATTAGAACTGTGGGTGTGTAGGAGCTTGTCAGGGCGTGAGGGGTGATGAGAAGCCTAGGTGTGCCTCAGGTGTGCAGGACTCAGTCTGCAGAGTGCAGGGTGTGGCTACTGCAGAGACCCGGAGAGGGGAGTGTTTCGAAGGGAAGGTCACCTGGGGTGAATGCACCAGAGTGACCAGACTACTTTTGGCCTAGTGCCACTGGTGACTCTAACAGTAGCCTTTATGTTAGACAAAGCTAGAGTGGGCTGAAGAGACAAAGGGAGGCAGAGAGACCAGAACTAGGGCCCCAGCGCTGGAGGATGAAAGAGCTAGCCAAGGATAGGCAAGGGTCTAGCATGATCTCTAAATACAGTTGAGAGGAGGGTGTAGTGGGCAGCTGTTCCAGCTTTGACCTGGAAGTACTACTCCCAGTGAGGTAACTGTCACACCTACCTATGACTGGCCGTTGAGGTGGGGCTGAGACAGGAGCCCTTAAGACCCGAGATCCGGATGTGCCGGCTCGCTTGGTTCCTGGAGGCTGGATGGTAGACCAAGCGGAGTTCTCCAGAGAACCCAGCAGGACTGCACCTCACCTCTCCCGGATCCTGTAACCAACCCCTTTACTAGCTGTAAGTTACCCCCCAAAATAAATCTCCTTTTTAGTTACGTGGAGTTGCCTTACTAAATCCTCCAACAGGAGGGTCAAGAGCAAACCCGGGCTTCTGTGATGGCACAACAGATGGTGCCAGCCGAAGAGCTTGGGGAGATGAGCTGGGAGGTTAAGTGCAGGAAGGTGGGCTTCACGCCTGAAGCTTCTAGAAGGTCTATGTTTGCGAGCGCAGGGGAGGTGTGTGGAAGGAAGAGAAGTGGTTGAGGGAACCCAGAGCAGCCCACAGGCTCTCTGTGAATGTGTAAGTGTGGGAAGTCTGTCCCAGAAGGGACACAGTCGTGAGATAAAGACTGCCAACAACACGGCATGACTGGCCAGGTGTCAAATCCGACAAAGGCCACCCAGAGTGAAGCCTGCCAAGTGATTACTCCAGACAGCAGTCCCCACCAAGCAGCCGGAACCAACAGACTGCAGATCCTCGGGAAGGAAGGGCAGGGGGGCAAGAGTGGCTTACACAGCAAGTCTGGTGAGGGAGGGAGGAAACTGGAAAGACCAGGTGGACAAGGTTTGGTCAGCTGGGGAGATTTCTATACTTTTTCTCATCCCATCCATCCACCTGAGTTAAACATGACGCCCGAAGAACCAAATCCAAGACCTTGCACTGGGGGGTGTGTAGCTTTGGGAAAATCAAAAGGGGATCCTGTCCTGACTGCACTCCTATGTCCAGCTGGGACTCACCTGAGGGCGACTAAATGTGACACACAGACCATGGGGCGGCTGCTGGCACAGGGCACTTCTGCTCTTTACATCTGTCTTGCTGGCTATGTGTGCTGCTTCATGTACCCAATGACTCAGCCAACCATGGACTCCCACAGCTGAGGAGGAGCCTGGGGTGTGGGAGCTGGGAGCCCTAGTTTGTGGTAGCCCACTTCATGCAGCCATGGTGCTCACTGAAGAAAACCAGGACTCACCCAGGTTCCATACCATTTTATTACGGCCCTGCCCTTGTCTTCCAGAACGAACGGCCATTTAACACATAAAACCCAAACACCCTTCCCATGGATCTTGTTAATATCCAGAGGTCTCCCCTGTTTCTTTCTCAGCACATTACATCAAAACAGAAAAACAATCATTTAGTCCATCCCAGGAAAAGCACCATTACAATAGGAAACGAAACATGTCAGGAATTGGACCAAATACACGAACAGCAGGTCAGACCCTGAAGAATGAATTCCAACATAATAGGAACATAAATAGACCCCCGAAAGTGTATATATATATATATATTCATGTGTGTCCATATATATTAAAGAAATTTGGTTTCTACCCCCAAAGTTATTCAGAAATAGTAACATTCCCTCTGCACTAAGGAAGGCTGGGTGCAATGGCCACATTACAAAGTAAGTGTGGCTTTGGTCTTCCTTCTGTGTACTAATTACGCCTGCCGGACAGTCCCTCCCTGGGACACACATAGGACACCTTTTTGCTTCACACCCTAGGCCTAGCAGATCCAGTGTTTGTACGAAAGTGAGCCTGGGAAGTCCCAAAAGGCTCATCCCTGGGTGGCCTCAAAACCCACTAAGCAGAGCCCAGACCCTGTGGCTGATCCTGAAGCTGGGTCTTGCTATCAAGGGAAGTGCTTGGAGCCCAGGAATAGGATGGCGATGATGGTCCTGGTTTTAACAGCCAGCCCTGCTCTGGGCTTTTAGGCGGGAGTGGAGTTTCCAGACCGACCCATTGTCGGGACTTAGCTCTCTTTGTGAGCCTGGTACACACGCATGCATCCGCATACGCGGACACTCTTTAACGGAGGCTGACAGGTTGCAAATGAGTATTCCTACTCAAGTAGTGTCTGTTTCTGCGTAAACTGGTTTTGCCACTGAATTCTAAGCAATCCCCGTGCTAAATAGATTCGTCCGTAAGACAGCAGCTGCTGGAAGCTGTAGATATAGAAGATAAGTTACAGACCCTGGAGAGTAATCCTCTTAGGGCTTGGCACAGTGTTTCCATCGACCAATAGGATGACTGTGTGGGAACCCCTTCCCTATCCCATACCCTTTCCCGGCACCACGGGCACACAGGAGAAAAGGCTATTGTAATCAGAAGGCGCACAATTAGTTCAGGGTGCAGATCCAGTGATAAGAGTCACACACAACCATACTCATACCACACTGTTTGCGGGTCCCCACCTGGCTCTGGGGATGCCGGTGTGCTCTTTGAGCTGCTCCCTTGATTGAAGTCATCAGGGCCCCGGCTGACATGGGGAGCCAAGTCAGGAGATCTACCAGGGCTTTTGGTCGGAAGCCCCTCACTGTAGCCATGTCCTGGGCCCCCATCTCCTTCCGAGGTGCTGAGCCCCGACCTCACAGGAGCGACGGTGGCTACCTCCCCTGAGTGTGGTGGCACTTTGGGTTTTGTCCTGACAGCAGGAGCCACAATGGGAGAAAAGTGCTGGGTCGGGGGGTTGCTACCACTGCTACATCCAGTGGCAAGGGCTGGGGCTGTGGCAGACTGCTGCAGGGGGACCAGCCTCTCCTCCTTTGGGGGGGCCAGGGAGAAGCGCCTTGTGTCCGGTGGCCGGCCACGAGTACCAGGGCCTGGAGAGGAGCTGTCAGCTTTTCCTACCAGTGGAGTCCGCTCCCGGGCCAGACTGTGGGAGCCCTGCAGGCTGTGGCTGCCTGTGTCTCTGGTTCCTGCAGTCTCTGGACAACACCCTGACTTCTGAGGAGACTCTGGCCTGCAGGCTTCTGGCCCGCTGGCCCGGAGGAGGTCAGCCGAAGCCAGGCTGAAGGTTCTACTCAGAGATGCGCTTCGGCTGGCAGGCATGTGACAAGTCGAAGGCATGGTGGTTTGCCTGGGTCTCCCCAGAGACAGGCTTTGGGGAGGCTGGACTTGTCTGGAAGGGACCCCAGCTAGGGCCTCAGCCTCAGATGGTCTCAAGCTGGGCTTTACATAATGCCCTGGCTTCAGCTGCTGCCCCTCAGAGGTGTTGACTGACATCTTGATGGGAGCCACAAAGCTGGTGGGCATCTTGGCTCCGTCCTTCCTAGCTGGTGGTCTGGGCTGGCCTCCCGTGGCTGGAGGATCATGGGCCTTTCGGAAGTAATCACTAAGAAGGTCGTCGCGGCAGCTCGGAGTGTCCTGGGGAGAGGAGAGAACGGAGGTGGAAAATTGGGAGTCTGGACTGACATTTCTGTCTCTGATTGGGCTTCTTTTGGGCATGCCCAGGAAGCAGTCTGGAATGAGGGGCCAGGAGTACAGAGGTCATTGGGTGAAGAACCCCAGACACCACCCAGACAGCCCCCAACTGCTCAAGCAGATAGAGGGAAGTGACTTCCCCCAAAACCACCCATTTTAATGTTGGTACTGAGACCTGGACACAGCCCTTTCAGCCATCTCCCTCCCCTACAGTACAGAGCAGGGTGAGAAAGCTTTTGGGGATGAATTAGCCCTTCTTTCTCTATCCATCCCACAGGCTTGGGCACTCACGAGGACAGGAAAGAAACACGACACACACCACAACTGGCACCGCCACCCACATCTTCCTCCTGAGAAGGGAAGCGAGGTGGGATGGGAGGTGGAAGCCAGAGAGGCAGAGGGCCCAGAAGTGGAGAGAGCTCATCCCAGGGCTCCACAAAACTGCTTCCCCAAGGCTCTGCTTTTCCTATCCAGGAGAAGGTATCCTCTGCCACCACCCTGGAAACAAGCAGATCTGCTGGAGGCAAAGGTCTGTGATGCTGCCAGGGTCGGTAGCCATTAGTTAGCATCCCAGGGGCTGCCAGAGGCAGCAGTCAAGGTTGACAGGAAGAGGGCTGCTAAGATGACTGGGGGGGGGGGGGGTAAAGATGCTTGCCACCAAGGCTGACAGCCTGAGTTAGATCCCCAGGACCCACTGATGGAAACAGAAAGCCAACTCTCACAGCTATCCTCTGATGCTCACGTGTGCCACTGTGCGCGTGTCCAAACATACACACAACAGATAAATTCCATGGGAAGTGGAGGAGACCGGAGCTCAGACAGGATGTAAGGGTCAGGGGCCACCAGATCCTATTGGAGTTAGACCCTGGTGGGCCTGCAGTGGTTGGTGCCAGGCTGAAGGACGGACCGGTGGCTCAGGAGCCATCGGGACCTGTTTAGCAACCCCAGAAAGGCGGTGCTTTCTGATGTGGTCTGCTGTGGACACCCAGGAAGAGCTGTGACTGTTAACGTCCACAGGTGTCATTTATCACCTGTGCCACCAGGCCCTGCTCTAGGCTTCATCTACCCAAAACAAACAAACAAACAAACAAAACCCCTCAAAACCCACCTCACCTGCTGTGGAACATTCCTTTACACTGTGTGAAGATGTGTCACTGTGATTGGTTTAATAAACACTAAACAGTCAATAAATAGCTAGGCAGGAGGTATAGCAGGGACTTCTGGACAGAGAGAGCTCTGGGAAGAGGAAAGGCTGGAGTCGCCAGCCAGACCGAGAGGAAGCAGGATGGGCAGTACAGAGTAAAGGTAACACAGCCACATAAAAGAACGTAGATTAAAAAATATGGATTACTTTAAGTTATAAGAACTAGTTAGGAACGAGCCTAAGCTAAGGCCATGCTTTTATAACTGATAATAAGTCTCCGTGTCATTTTTTTGTGAGCTGGCAGCCCAAAGAAAACTCCGTCTACGCTCACCCAATTCCCAAAGCAGCTTGGCAGCGTTTGGTTCAAACCGTGGAAAAACTACTTATGACAGATAAAGACATGAGGTCGAGCAGGCCATGGAACCTGAGATGGCAGGGCAGGTCTGAGGTTAGGCCAGGGCTGACTATGGGGCCCACCTCCACACCAGTCCCCTCCTCTCTGCATGCCATTTCTGTTTTCATTCAGTCATTTACTTCTGCCTGTGTGCAGGTGAGGGAGCTGGCTCTCACCTTCCACCTGCAGGGGCAGGGCCTCTCACGTCTGCTGTGTCCCTGCTTGCCCGAGGCTAGCTGCCCTTAGGCAGCTGTGGAAGCTCCCGTCTTCTATCTACCTTCCACCTCACTGGAGGAGCGTCGGGATGACCGATGTACGCCACCACACATCTGCTTTTGGTGTGGGTTCCGGGAACTGAACTCAGGTTGTCAGGCTTGCATGGTGAGCATGTTGTACCTGCTGAGCCTCTCTCTCCCTGGACCCTCTTGTCTTCTGTTGAACTGACTTGTAACTGCCATTTAAGTCAGGGCACTTGGCCCTCTACACAGGCCTAAACACCCTAAAGCATGCATACATTCTGTGTTTGCAATCTCCAAATGCTTCTCTTCCAGCTCTTGGGCCACTGGAACTCACTCCTTCTCTATCAGTTTCTTTTAGCTTCTGCATGAGTCAATGGGTGGCATCCGTCTTTGTGTAAGTGAATTTCTAAGTCTTGAGTACCCACATTCAGAAGGTCAGCCTTCCTGGCTACCCCAGGAACCCAACATACGCCTCCCCCCATAATCCCAGCATCAAAGGCTTGGGTGGGGACCCTACTGGGGAGGGTTCAACTGTGGTTCAAACAACTGAGCTGTCCTAGGCACTCAAGGGGGCTGTGGGAGGCTATATGGCTACCCACATCAGACTCCAGCAGAAATGGCTACAAAAGGCCTCTTATCAGCTGAGATGAGGTGGGGGAGTCTGTACGGTCTGAGGCTCTGTCACTGACAACAGGTCTGAGCAGAGGAGAGGACACACTGTTGTGGACACCACTCCAGGACCAAGAAGGCAGGCAGGCTCCAGCTGCAGGCTCTTCCCGACCCCTGGCCTATGCCACTGTATGAGCAATTCATAGGATGCTCACTGACATATGAGCACTGCCTCTGACCCACCCAGCCAGAAGCCCCAGTGTGGCTTGTGTTCTGGCAAAGCCTACCAGGCAATTTGGACCTACAGCAGGGCCCAGAAACCATTAACAGGAGACATCAGCTTCCCAGGGTACTCTGTCCTTCTCAGCTGGGGACCTCCAGCAGCTGCCATGAAGCCAGCAGCGACAGACAGAATACAAGCACAGGAAGGAGACCAGGACCACACCCCATGTTTCTCTCCTGTGCTGACCAGGAAGCCAGCAGGCACGGGGCAAACTTCTGGAGGAGCTGGCTGGCTTTACTTGTGGAGAGCAGGCACCACGCCCACTGCCTGATAGATAGAAGGTACTCAATGAACACTCATGAGCAAGTATTTAATATACCCCGGGCCTTTGTGCCCTCAGAACAAGTCGTGGATTTTACTACACGGATGAGATCTGTTTATTTAAGGGGAGTAAGGGGGAAAAACCGAAGCATTAACTCAACAGTCCTCAAGGCCAAGATGGTGTATTTCAGTCAAAACAAAACGAAACAAAACACAAAAAAACAAACAAACAAGAGAACACATTACTAATTTCAGACAGCATACTATAGCCTATGGGTGGCCCTAAGATGTGTTGAGGCCCTGAAGAGCACAGGAGGGTCTATCAACAGGTGGTTATGGGGGGGGGCGAGGGTGAGACGCTACTGAGCTAGTGTGTGTGTGTGTGCGTGTGTGTGTGTGTGTGTGCGCGCGCGCGCGCGCACTTGCATTGCTAGAGGTCGAACCCAGGGTCCTGCCCTACTAACTACACCTCCAGGCCCTTGCAGCCTATTTTCACAAGGTGTGAGCAAACAAGTCTTTGGTGGGTGGGTAATGCATGTGTGAGTGTGTGCCTGTATGCACTGTTGCAATGTGCAGACATGTACGTGGAGGCCAAAGGAAAAACCTCCGATGTTGGCCACCTTGAATTTTTTTTTTTTTTTTTTTGAGACAACAGTCTTTTTTTGGCCTGAAACTCACCAATTAGCATAGCAGACTGGCCAAGGAGCCTCAGAGACCTGCATGTCTCTGCCCTTTGAGTGCTAGGATTCTAAGGGGATGACTACCATGCCCAGCTCCAAGTAAGTTTTCATGTTTCTAAACAACTGGACAAAAATATTAAAAACAAGCAAACAAGAACCCAAGCAGAACTAGGAATGGCACAAAGCCCTGGGTTCAATCCCTAGCACCACAAGCACGCACGCACGCACGCACGCACGCACGCACGCTCTCTCAGTTACATCACGGCTTGTGAAAACCATACAGAATTCAAAGGTCACTGGGTGTGAGCAGTTGTGCCAGGCCTGGCCGAAGTCTGCGTTTTCTACAGGAGCAGGGCAAGATGGCTGCAACTCAACTACCACAGGGCCCAGGAGTCTACAATGTTTCCTCTGCGGTCCTCTGAGAGCCCCTCCGAGCTTGCCCAGGGCTGCTGGAGATAGCACAGACTAAGCAGCACTCAGAGCTGGGTCACAAACCCCGTGCGGGTGCTGGCCACAGGCTGCACCAGCTTGGTTCCCAGGGCCCGAGGCCAGCTCACAGTAATCCTTTGGCCAGTGGCACTGGATATCCTGACACAGCCCAGCCGGCCCTGCTGTCCCTCCCGGCACCATTAGCTCCGCCTGGGCCAGAGAACTCACGTGGGTCGGAGAGCCGCGGTTACTCTCCTCCAAAAACTCCTCCAAGGTGACCATCTCACTGCTGGGTGAGGCCGAGCGGGACCGCCCCCCAGTGTGGGCTGGAGCTGCACCCCTCTTCTGGGTACTGTCCTGGGGGACGGGCCCATTCCGGAGCGGAGGGTACTCATGGCGGCTGAGGCCACCACGTCCTGGGGTGCCGGCATCCCGAGACAGTGTGGTGGGGTCCCTGCTGGGGATCAGGTCTGCGCTGCTGAAGCTCTCCCACCGGCTGTGCAGGCGGTCAGAGGAACCTGGGAGGGCAGCAGAGGGGCACACATCAGTCTCAGCTCTCTCTTGCTCCCTGCAGCTCACCGGAAACCATCCCAACTGAGAAAATCTGTCCCCAGGCCCTGGGCACTCATGCTGCCCAGCTACGATTGCTATACTTTGACTCAACAAACTGGTAAAAAGTAAAAGTAGAAAACTTTCACTAAAATTTAAAAACGAATTTAAAATGTTTTCCCATCTCTTAGGCAGCAGACAATATTCCTCCATGTTATATTATTTTTTATTTATTTAGTTAAAAAACGAAACAAAAACTCTGTCTCATGTTGCCCTTGCTGGCGACCTTGAACTTCTGATCCTCCTGCCTTTACCTCCCAGGTACTAGGATTACAGGCATGCACCTAGTGTGTATGCAGGACTGGGGGCGGAACTCGGCTCCGTGCACGCTAAGCCAACACTCTATGAATCGAGCTCTATCCCCAGCTCTATTTCTCTCCTCTTAAAAAAAAAGTGCATCTCCCAGGATAACAACAACTGTCTTTGTGTCACAGAAGACAGAAACTGCAGATGAAGTGTGTGTGCCGAGGAGAAGGTTTACACTGGAACTTATTATAAGCCCAGTGCAGGATGGACAGCCCCACGGCTCCATCAGCTTACACGTCACCCTTGCTCAGGAACCACGCCGTTGACACTGTTCCAATGTCAGGACCTGTGCTGCTAAAGCCAGCAGTGACATTCAGATCACTAACCCTGACACGCTCATCAGCTCCCATTCACTCACATAACAAAAGCTCACTTCGCACCCACTAGATGTGAGGTCACTCTCACAGAGGTCAATCATGTAGAAGGTTAAGAAGAAAAATCTTGATAAACTTAGTCTCAAGCAATAAGGTCATGTGACAGCATATGTCCTCTTCAAATGCAGGGGGGTCCAAACATGAAAACAGACCACGAAACAAAACCCTTAAAATTTAAAATTTCTGTTAAAGAATCAGATTCGGTCTGGGGACATACCTCAGTTGGCAGAGTGCTTGGCTAACTAACATCCTGGGTTAGTGTCCCAACCCCACACAGACTAGCATGGTGACACTCTGGCCTTGGCTCTAGAGTGAGCTGGAGAACAGCCTGGGATACAAAACTCATTTTCTAAAGGAATCACATTTGTTCTCAGTTCTGCGTGGAAAAGAACATTGGTCCCTATCCCTTTTCCACCCAGCTTGGACTGAAAGGACCTGTGACTTACCCATGTCCTCAGGGTAGGCAGGGGAAGAAGGGACCTGTCTCTAATCTGTTCAGAACCCCCTAGCCTGTGCTTGAAGCCTTGGTGTATGGCCCTCGACTGCACCGGAACGTGTCTCAAGCCCCGCTAAGCAGAGCTGAACTGTAAGAATGGTAAGAGTCCAGAGCTGAACGTCCAAATAAATGTTTGCAAGTGCTCCATGGGAAGAGCCTTACCCTTGAGGCTCAGCGGCGAGCTGTTGCTGGATGTGTTCCTGCTGCTCTCCAAGCTGTTCGGCCGCGACACTGGGAAGGAACGACTGGATTTAATACAAAGGGCCAGTGACCAGGTAGATCCCAGGTTAACAGCATGACTCGAGGAAGAAAACATCATCAAAGCAATTCTGCACCAGTTCAGACCAGGGTTTTCAACCAGGAAGGTCTGCAGGATGCGGCACACACTCGGCTGAGGCCACTGGCTTCAGCAACAGAGAGCTAGACACAACACAGCACTCAGCAGGCTAGCCGTAACTGGCAGAGCTGGGTCTCTATTCGCTCCCAGGTCTAGGCATCTAGTTTCCAACAGTAATAAAACGGGCCACATCACAGAATTCCAGTACAAAAAGTACAAAACGGTTCCTCTGGGCAAACCCAGGGTTGGAGCACAGAGACCACCTCTTTTACTGCACAGAACTTTCTGGAACACATGCAAACACCCCTTCCCAAAACAGCAGTGAGGTACCGTCCACGGCAGCAGGCGCACACACGGATGTGCATGCAGGGGTGTGTGTCTGAGCGTCTCCTGTAGGTGATCACAGGAGGGGACGCCAGGATGTCAGGAGCAAAGCGGCTGCTCTACATGCTGCTGCTTTTCTTCGGCTCTTTACAGTCACTTGCCTCCAACATTCATCTGCTCTAAACTGAAACCTCCAGGCTCCTATTAACACAGGTAGAGGGACCCAGCCCTTGGGACTGTGAGTGTCAGCCTGGGCCAGTCCGCAATAATCACCCTGCTTCAGAGGCAGAAGGATGGCACATCACTCCTCGCCATGGCTGGACCATCCCTTCTAGGGTCCGCAGACCTCTCCTGGTCCCTCTGCAGCAGCCTGTGCCAGTGTGAGGGGAGCAAACACCTCTGCTGCTGGGCTCCGAACCCCGAAGTGTGGCTGTGGAGCGGCACTGGGCAAGCCTTCAGAAACACTAGAAGGCCCTTGGCTTGCTGTCCCCAAGGAGCTCAGGTGTCTACACAGGCCTAAGTCCCAAGCGTGGTAGGCACTGCACAGAGCAGGCACCCGGAACACACTTGCTGGCAAAGTGTTTAAGGATGAGCCAAAGAAGACTTGGAGCTTGGGAAACAATATTGGACCAAGACCCTCCGTGGAGGGGCAGCTAGAAACACAGGCTGTTCTGTAACAGGCACTGGGTGGCACTAAAGGAAAACATTCATGTTTACTGTTTAATTTTGGTTTTGTTTTGAGTTAGTGCCTTACTAGTTAGAATAGCCTTGAACTCATAACCCTCTGGTCTGAGCCTCCTGAGAGCTGGGATTACAGGCCTGAAAGACCATGCCTGCACACTCAGGTTCACTAAACAATTCTTTTCGTTCCATATGCTGAACAGAGAAGCTGGAGGAGTAGAGAGGTGCTTGAAGAACCCCCTGGCCAGGCAACCAGTTGCCAAATAGGCCACTCAGTGAGCTGGCGTACTTGGAAGGGCCCCTCCTACTATAGGGCCCCCCACTCTGGGTAAAGACAGAAGGGCTCCTGGGCCAGGAGGCCTCATTAAAGAGTCTGCCTTCACTCACAGACTCATAAACAACTAACGCCAGCACCGTCTGACTCTCTACGCAGCGGGCAGGGATCCTCAATGCTGGATCCCTTGACTACTCCAAGCACATCAGCCACAAACCGACCCATGCAAACCTCCAAGGTTTCCCTTTTAAGGGATTTCTTTCTACCCTCCTAGGGTTTACTTAAAAACAAAACAAACAACAACAAGAACAAAAATGTTGATTTAGTGTGTGTTATGTGTGAGAGGGTGTGTGCAGAGGTCGGAGGACAATTTTCAGGAGTTGATTCCTGGAATTGAATTCAGGCCATCCAGCTCGGTGGCAAGTGCCGTCAGCCACTGAGCCATCCCATAGTGCACTACTTTTTATTTTTTAAAACATTCATTCTTGTTAAACATTTATTTACTTACTCGTGTGTGTGTGTGTGTGTGTGTGTGTGTGTGTGTGTGTGTGTGTACACACGTGTGTATGGAGGTCAAGGGGCAAATACAGGAGTTGGTTCTCTCCTTCCACCGCATGGGTTACGGGATCAAATTCAGGTTGCCAGGCCCGCACTTGGCAAGTGCCCTTACACACTGAGCCAATCTGTCAGCCCCCTAGAATCACTTTTTAAAAACTGAGAACTGGGGGCTGGAGAGATGGCCGAGCACTTAAGAGCACTGGCTCTTCGAGGATCCAGGTTCAATTTCCAGCATCCACATGGGGGCTCCTAACCATGTCTGACTCCAGTTCCAGAGAACCTGACCCTGTCTTCTGGCCTCCAGAGGCACTAGGCATGTAAGTGGTACAGACGGATACACAGGAAGTACACGTACGCACGCACGCACATAACGTAAACTTAAAGGCTGAGATTCGGGGTGGCAGCTCTCTGGTACAGTGCTTGTCTTGCCTGTGTGAAGGCCGGGCTCAAGGAGGGAAGGTGCATGGGAGGGAGGAAGAAATGAAAAGGGGAACCAAAGCAACTCGTAGTTCTGAGAGGCCTGGGAGGCCGTTACCCGTTCTCTTACAACATCCACAGCCAGGGGAGAAGCATGTCTAACGCTGAGACTTCATACAACTCGGTGTTACCACAGGCGAGCAAGAGAAAAGTGCAAGCCTTCCTAAAACTTGGTCCCTGCATTGGTCACCAGGACTCCCTGGCACACCTGGAGGTTGCTGGACAGCAAGGCATGCCAAGAGTTTTCTGAACCGGAGGCTTCTGGGGGGACAGTGAACTCCTTACCTGTAGAGGCTGCTCAGTAGGAACTGTGTGAAGAAGCTCCTGGGCAGGGCAGGGAAGGCAGGCTCAGAAAGGCTCCAGCCCCTGCATCCCCACGTCCATCCTAACAATTCCACCCTCACCTCTTTCGTGTGTTAGGTTTCCATGACATCCGTGCTGCTGAGCTTGAACTCAAAGTGCTACTGATAAAGACCCACCTGATACCACACCAGCCACTCACCCGGCTGCCTGGGGTAGGGGGCCTCAGGCTCCATGGAAGGCTCGCAGAGGTTGTCATCTGAATTACTACCTAAGGTGAGAATAAAGTTAATATGTCGGGGTTCTAGAACACCCACCACCCACAAGGAAAACCCTGGGATCCCTGGCTGCATGACCATCTCGGCCCTTCGTTCCGCCCCCGAATCAAGGTAAGGTCCAAGTCTTAGGGTGAGGGAGGGGGTATGGACGGCGCCTCTGCTCATCTGTCTACCTGGGAAGAGGAGATGGGCTAATGCACTGGACGGGTTCCATCTACTTTCGGTCACACTTTGTGCCCGTGCATGAGGGGAAAGGGAGCTCTGGCCTGGGGGCCAGGTAAAAGAGCGGAGTCCAGTGCCCCGGGAACCCTTCCAACCCTGAAAGCCAGCAGCACGAAAGGCAGAGGATGTGGCAACAAATCATCTTCAGAAGCCACAATGCCATCAGGTGGCAGGAGGACAGGAAAGGCAAAGGAGACAAACGGGACCCAGCACCCAGGAGGAGAGGGTGAGCAGGCCTCGCACCCTCAGCCCCAACAAGGTATTAGTCGGGGAACCCTCCAGTCAGCCGTCAAGAGGCCTCTCCAAGCTGCCCGTGTCTCTATCTAAGCACTAAGTGTGGGGTCGCCTCTGAAAGGACAAGATCTCCCTGTTGAAATCAGTTACCTACCCACTGGCAGCAAGTGTCCAGACCGTGAGCTCAGGGGCCCCGTGAGTGATGCCTGTGTTTTACTTATGGCATCAAGGCTGTGCAACGCCTAAGCCTTCCAAGGCTGAGTGTGTAGGTCCAGCCCCGAAGAAGCAATCGTATTCATCTGTTTTTCTTTTCTTGTCTTGTCTTTTTTTTTTTTTTTTTTTTTGGTATTTTCATCTCTCTTGAACTATATGGATGGCAGTTTTAGGCATTCCTTCCCTTCTGTTTGCCTATTTTAGATTTTCAAATGCTTCTCTCTTGCCATCACTTCTTTCATAGCATCCTGTTCTTGTTTCGTGAGCACAGTAACTTTTCTTATCACCGTTAGGCATTGTAACACTTTCATCTCAATGCTTCCAAACACCCCCGTTTATGCCAGTGACCTTTGCATTGGCTTTTCCTCTGTTTGGGGTTGCAGGCTCTCCCCGGGTGTCCACAGAATCCTTGAAACTCTATGGGCTTTATTTGACATCTGACCAAATCATTTGGCTGGGAATCTCTTCAGCTAACGAGACCCAAAGACTATTGATTTTGCACCCGAGGTGTGAACACACATAGCCACTGGAGTTCTAGTATATGGCATATCTGCAAACCCTTCGCTGATGCCATTGTGTTCAGCATGGGACATTTGTCCTCGGTTCTGTCAACAGACTTCTGGGTTAGAGACCCTCTCATTCATCTTTTCCAGAGAACATATCTCCTGACTCCAGGAAGTTGCCTGGTATCAGCCCAGCCTTGGTGCCACCAAAGCCTGAATGCTGCTGTAGCTGCTGGGTCCTGACGTTTTTCTCATGGTACTTAGGCCTACTGATGGCTGAATTATTTATCCAAAGTCACTTGGCTGGTAAGTAGAGACAAGGCTTGCACCAACTTTGTGACTCAAAATCTTCATCAGCGTTTCCCCTCTGAGAGTACCTCGTTTTCAGAAGGGCCGCAGGCCCAGAGATCATCATCTAGAGGTCTTACCTTTGGTGCGGCCTGGGTGCTTGGGGACTAGGGTGGAGCCGGAAGGGGCTGCCATGATGGCTGAGGTTGAAAAAGTCCGGGAGCCAGGCTCTGAGGGCCAGGACTTCACAGCTGGGTCAGTGGAGGCATCTGTGCGGTCAACACTGCCTCCTCGGGGGGACCCTCGCTTTGGTTTCTGATCCCCGGGGCCTGGGGCAGAAGACATTGAGAATGAGGTTGTAAGCCCATGCCAAGGCTGGGCAAGCACACGGAGGCCCAAAGCAGGTGCAGCAGGGCACACAGACCACAGAGACACAAGCTAGGCGGCCCCCCCCAGCTGCGGCTGAGACGAGGCGGCTACCATGAGGCTAGCTCAGGTTCCAGTGTGGGTCACATGGTTAGCATTGGGGGACTGGCAGGGGAGAAACAGAACTCAAGAGGAGAAATAAAATGTTGGTGATGACCCAGAAGTCAGCCTCAGGATACACTTCCTGTACTCCTGTACAGAACCCCAAGTCCTGTCTCAACAGCCCAAATAAGTATCTGCAGATGTCCTGCCAACTGGGTTCCTTTGGGTGTCAAAAGGAAGTTCATCGACAAGCTCACAAGAGTTTATTCTTAGAAATAAAACAAAAACACCCAAAACTTTAGTCTATGCAAGGTGGTTTCCCCTTGTAGCTTAGGCTTTTAAGCAGTGTAGTTTTCTGCTATAAACATGTATACCTGTTGAAATTAAGTAATATGTTTGAAAATCACCCCCTCCAAAAATAAAAACAACAACAACAACAAAACTCACCTAAATAAACAGAAAACCAAACAGGAGTGAGTGTGGTACCCCCAGACACAAGACAGAAATGAGCAGAGAGGGCTGAGGACAGTGACATGGTACTGTGCCTGCATCACATGGGTAAGACCCAGGGTTCGAACCCCAGCACCTCAAAACAACCCCGAAGAAACAAAAGAAAAAGACAGGAGCGTTCCTGACAGCTGGCCAGGCCTTCTGTGTACCGCCTACGCCATATGCCCAAGTGCCAGGCGCGGCTGGAGGTCGCTCTTGCGTACACTGGACTCTTTGGCCCTTCAACTGCAGGGCTCTTCTCTGTGTGGCTTCCAGGCCCAGATCCTAGGGTCTGAACCGAGGGGCAGACTGGATTTTGGATGATAACCCTGATGAGAAGCAAGAGTCAAGTCTGATAGAATGAACAGTCATGGGGCCTTTCCTGTGGGTGAGGTGAAAATGAAGGTCCAGAAGGGAGGTGGAGATGGGCAAGCAGTTAGCATGAACACCAGACAGAGACTAGCACAATTCCAATAGCATGCGAGGAAGACAGACTCTGGGAGCAGGCACCATGATGGCTGGGTGTTCTTCAAGACAGGGTCACAGCTGAAGTCAGTGGCAATGATAACCAACCTTAACGTTGTCATAGTTACAGGTTTGTATTGGCACCTGGTTTTTTATTTTTTCTTTCTTTCTTTCTTTCTTTCTTTCTTTCTTTCTTTCTTTCTTTCTTTCTTTCTTTCTTTCTTTCTTTCTTTCTTTCTTTCTTTCTTTT